CTTTCATGGATCTCATGAACATAATATTCCAACCCTATTTGGATCAGTTCATGGTGGTGTTCATTGACGATATTCTAGTGTATTCAAAGTCCAAAGAAGAACATAGTTCACACTTGATGAAGGTGTTACATATTTTATGAGAAAAGAAACTTTATGCTAAACTCTCTAAATGTGAATTCTGGTTGAATGAAATGACGTTCCTTGGATATGTGATTTCTGCAGAAGGAATTCGAGTGGATCCTTAAAAGATTAAAGCCATTTTAGAGTGGGAAGTTCCAAAGAATGTGTCTGAAGTTCGGAGTTTCCTTGGACTTTTCGGTTATTATCGGAGATTCATTAAGAATTTTTCGATGATAGTGCTACCTTTAACAAAGCTGATGAGAAAGAACGTACCATTTATCTGGACTTTGAAGTGCCAAGAAAGTTTTGAAGCTTTAAAGAAAATTTTGACAGAAGCTCCTGTATTGGTTCAACCTGAAACATGTAAGAATTTTGTGGTGTATAGTGATGCGCCCCATAATGGCTTGGGATGCGTGCTAATACAAGAAGGCAAGGCGGTGGCCTATGCTTCGAGGCAATTAAAGTCATATGAAAAGAATTATCCGACACATGATCTGAAAATGGCTGCTGTAGTGTTTGCTCTCAATATTTGGCGTCATTACTTATACGGAGAACGTTGTTACTTGTATACGGATAATAAGAGTTTGAAGTATTTGATGACTCAAAAAGAGCTTAATTTGAGGTAAAGGAGATGTGTTGAGTTTTTAAAAGATTATGATGTGATAATTGACTATCATCCTGAAAAGGCTAACGTGGTAGCAGATGCTTTGACCAGAAAAACGTTTGTAGCCTTACGAGCTATGGATGCAAGATTATCTTTAACTGGAGATGGTGGTCTATGTGCAGAGTTAAATCTTAAACCAATGTGGTTGGATCGAATTGGAGATTTACAAAGAAAAGATGAAATGTGTTTGAAAAGAATAGAGTAAGTAATAAAGAGATTAAGGATTTTGAGGTTAAGTCGGATGAGAAATTGTATTATAAAGGAAGAATGGTGATACCAGATAATGAGGGGTTGAAGAAAGATTTATTGACAGAGGCTCATTGCAGTCCATTGACGATGCATCCGGGTGGAACCAAGATGTATATGGATTTGAAGGATCAGTATTGGTGGCCAGGGATGAAATGAAGCATCAGCGAAATTGTGTCTAAGAGTTTAATATGTCAACAAGTTAAAGCTGAGCATCAAGTTCCGTCAGGATTATTGCATCCGTTTTCCATTCCACAATGGAAATGGGAAAATGTGACGATGGATTTTGTTTCAGGGTTACCCTTGACTCCGAACAAAAGAGATTCAATATGGGTGATTGTTGATTGATTGACTAAGTCAGCGCATTTCCTTTCGGTTAGAACAAAATTCTCTATGGAAAAGTATGCAGAGTTGTACATTAAAGAAATTATTAGATTACATGGAGTGCCTATTTCTATAGTTTCTGATCGAGACCCTTGATTTACTTCGAGATTATGGAAATCCTTACATGGAGCGTTGGAAACTCGCTTAAATTTTTGTACATCTTTTCATTCTCAGACTGATGGACAATCGGAGAGGACGATTCAAATCTTGGAAGATATGTTGAGAGCATGCGTAATTGAGTTCAAAGGGTTGTGGGAGAAGTATTTACCACTGACAGAGTTCGCTTACAACAATAGTTATCAGTCCAGTATCAAGATGGCACCCTATGAGGCTTTATATGGAAGAAAATGTCGTAGGCCATTAAACTGGTATAAACTTAAAGATCGAAGTGTTCTTGGTCCGGATTTGATTCAAGATGTGGAAGAGAAAGTTCGAGAAATTCAACATAATCTCAAAGTGGCATTTGATCGACAAAAGTCCTATTCTGATCTCAAAAGAAAAGAAATTGAATTTGAAGTTGGAGAAAAAGTGTTCTTAAAGGTATCTCCTATGAAGAAAGTATTACGGTTTGATCAGAAAGGAAAGTTGAGTCCTCGGTTCATTGGACCCTATGAGATCGTAAAAAGAGTAGGAACAGTGGCATATCAACTAGCCTTGCCACCAGAAATGGAAAAGATACATGATGTCTTTCACGTTTCAATGCTTCGAAGATATAGATCTGATCCCTCTCATATCGTGACACCAGAAGAGATTGAGGTCCGATCTCATCTGACTTATGAAGAAGAACCAATACATATATTATCTCATTAAGTGAAACAACTAAGGAATAAGACTATTCCTTTGGTCAAAGAGCTATGGAGAAATCACAAGGTAGAAGAAGCAACGTGGGAGCATGAAGAGGATATGCGATATCAGTACCCTCATTTGTTCGTGTAATGAAATATCAAGGACAAATTCTTTTAAGGGGGAGATTTGTAACATCCTCAATACCGGGTTAGTGATTTAAGTGTAAGATTTTAAAATTTCAGTGATCAAAGTAAATAAATTGAAAAGTTGAAAGATTTAATGGAAATATTTCATGTAGGATGAATTAGAAATAAGGAGAAGTTAAGAGGGTAAATGGGCATTTATTAAGAAAATAATTAAATATGGGTGGTGGGTATTTTATAACCCACGTGGAAATCATTTTTAGGAAACAAGAGTTTCCAGAGATTTCATATTTTCATCTTCTTCATCTTCTTCTCCCAACCGTGAAGCACATAAGTCAAGGTAAGTTGGATTTCTTTTGGTTAATCCTTCAAATTAAAGTATTGGTTTGATTCATGAAGCTTTAGAAAAGATGATGGAGATGAAAAAGATCATAGAAACTCAAAGACTTGTAAGTTATGAAGGATTAAAAATATGAAGTGGATTAGTGAAATTTTGAATAAGGATGTATAAATGGATTTAGAAGTTGAATTTGACTTGTCATGAATGTGAATAATAAGTTATAAGTGTTAGAATTAAGTTTGGATAACACGGAAAATTTGGTATGATTCTTAGCCTTAAGAATTTGGATGAGATATGGGAGATAATAAGGTGATGGAATGATAAAAGTTAGTTAAAATGGTTGTAGTTAAGTTTAATGGTATGAAAGGAGTTTTATATGAGGAAATTTAATGAAAAGTTATGGAATTTTCGGGTAAAACCAGTTATTATTGACATGTGCATCGATGCATTAAGGCAAAATTGAAGGTACATTAATGCATTAAGGGGTGCATCGATGCATGGGAATTTTGAACCTAATTTGTGTACCGATGCATCTATAGTGCATCGGTACACCCCTAAAGGAAAATTGAATTTTGGGTTTATTAAATTAGTTCAAGTTATTAGTATCAAATTATAAGGTTTAGGATTCTTATAATTATCTTGAAAATTATAATTATGTAGATATCGAGCCAAAACAAGTTCTAGAACAAGTGACAAGTAAGATCGATCGAGGAAAAGGCAAAGAGATACAGGTGAGTGCATATGCATAGCATGAATATAGTAGTATATTCAGTTCTAGACTTGTGATAAGTCTAGATTCAATATTTTGACACATGATCACATTCTATATTATGATATATGACATGAATGCATATTATATGTATTATGTGACATGAATATGCAGGAAAATTTATATGAGCTATGTGATAAAGGTATGGAAATAATATGTCTGCGCGATATGAACTATGTGAACTGTGAAAGCCAATGTTATGTAGATGAGAACTATAGGTATAGTTGGCATGCCAAGAGTATAAGGTCTACGCGGTCCTTCGGGACAAATTCTACGTGGTCCTTCGGGATATATATGTATTCTTTGGAACATGTATGAGGTCTTTTGAGACACCTACTTGATCCTTGGTATATGTATATGATTCTTAAGGAATTTCTATGTGGTCCTTAGGGATATATTATATAGCACTACGATGCAATTCTACGTGGTCCTTCGGGACAAATTCTACGTGGCACTTCGGTGCAAATTTATACGAGCTGTGGTGACAACATAGTGCACAAACTCACAGTACTCACATACCTCGGGTTCTCAGTATTGTATCATGGTCTATTGAACCTATTGAACTTATTATATGAATTCATGATGATTAAATTGATCAGATTATGGGTAAGGTACATGATTATGCAAGTTATATGAATTGAATATATGATTTCATGATATTGTATTTAATTATGACATTTTTATTATATTTTATTGTCATTATTATTATGCCTCACTAAGTCGATGACTTAGCGTAAGCGTTTTACACGTAGGTACCGAAAAGTAGAGAGATCCATTATAAGCTCAGCAGAACAACATAACTCCACTGGAAGGTCAGATCAGAAGTAGATTAAATAATATGTCTTACTATGTGAAAATGGGTTGGTATGTAAACAAAGTTGGTAAATTAAGTAGTTATGCTCTGATCGAGTTTTGTAATGTTTTAAACATGTTTATGTAAAAATAAATGCAAAGTAATGAACAATTAATTTTTTACGAGTTTTTTGTAAGTTTTACGAAATCACTGTAGCAGTGCATCGATGCACAATTTGTATTCGAAGTTTTTATGCATCGGTGCACTGTAGCAATACATCGATGCACTGTAGCAGGTTGATGTAACACTGTAGCATGTTACTGTAGCACTGCAACATGTTATTGTTCATTACTATTCATACCATATTTTACTGTTAATAAATTGTATGTTTTCTTAAATTGGTTATAATGAACACAATTCAACAATATATGATCGTATTTTCTTAATATAAGTTCAAATGTTTTGAAATTTTGTAAGAATGTGGTTTTAAAAAGTTAATGTGACATCTCAGATTCGTATCCGGGCCAGGTACGGGTTGGGGTGTTACAGGACAAATCTAGAATCAATTTCTAACTTAACCCTTTGGTAAGCGAATAACCTATGTTCTTTTTTGACTTTACTCATCATTTTAAGATACCCTCATGTTTCTAACATTTTTATACTAGAAATAAACATATAAGTGTATTGGAAAATGTGTAAATAAATTCTCTTACACATATACACAATCATACTAAAGTTTTCTATGAGCTTTAAACATAAATCTATGTTTTAACAAACTCAAATATTATTTACACATGATTATGTTCTCAAAATTTTTAAAAGCTACTAATCATTAAGATTATTATGCATAATATTAAACGATTATGAAATTCCTTATATCTCACTCAGTGTATAATGCAGTCTTTCGTGATTTTTTCTCAACATTTTTCCCCAAATTTTCTAGTTCTTCATAAGAAATGTTTAAGAATATTATACAAATTTTTATGATGAGTTTTTAATTTTCCCTAACAATAAGAAAATTATCTCAAGTTTATTACAAGAGATTTCAACACAACTCCTGAGATAAACCATCTTTTTTCTTTCCTCTACTTAGGAAAATAGCTCAAAGAGATTTAATAGCTACAAGAAGGGACGAAGCTCCCTTATGGCTAAAGGGGCCTCGCCCCTGTTAAATTTATATATTCGATATAATTTTGGTTTAATAGTATTTTGGTTCATGTAAAAATAAATATTTAAATTTAAAAATATAAAATTTATTAAATATTTAATCAAGTAGGGGTTGAACTAAAGAATGATAAATCTGTGATCTCAAATTTTTGGTCTAATTACAATTTAAGTCATTGTAAGTTTAAATATTAGACAAATTAAAAGTTGTCTTTTGAGTTTTGAGTTTTTTTTATTTTAAATTTAGGGTGAATACAAGGTAATATATGTACAAAGACTTTCAACTATTTGACAATGAAAGCTCATACCCCTACATACATTCTTGAACTCGGGACCTCAAGGATAACAACAATCCCTTAATCACTAAGGTCGCTTGGTTCATACTGAATTTCGAGTTTAAATACATAATAAGTCTTTATATTTTTCTTAAATAGTCTAGTATTTCGGCCCCTGCCAATATTTAATTCTGAATCCGTCTCTGGCTACAAGCAATCTTTTAGTAGCACTAAAGTATACTATATTCTCATTCATATTATTCAACATATTAGCCCTAAAGAGATCATCACATGTTTTATTTAATATGACCGAATTTAGTATTCTACTCAATCAAACTATTCACTTCACTTTTTTTAACTCCTACACTAAGTTTGAAGAGAGCTTAACTTGCCATAGTATTTTTATAAAATTGAACAAATTAAAGAATAATGCACCATGTAGGTTACAATAAAAGTGAGATGATGCACTAGGCACGCTTAAATACCGGGTCTTCACAAAATCAATCATAGACATTCATTTTCATAATGCTTTCCCATAAAGCATTTTTTAATTTTCTCTTTATTTAAGGTCTCTTAAAAGAATTATGCTTGATATCACAACAATATCTTATTAAGCATACACATTTTTGGCTCACTACTTCCTTAGCCTTATTTATCATTCACCGCCTTAATCTTTTTGCTAGTGGTTTATTTCACTCCATAATATTTCCAATAAGTTTTAAAGACTAATTTAAAGGCTTATTTAAACTAATTCATGTATTTATAAAACATGAATTAACAAATAACAAGTTTAAATAATCTAACCTTGTAGGTAAAATCATAATTTCAAATAGACTTGTCCATTCTCATCATGCTTGTAACTTGAATCTTTATATCATCATCTTTAATCAAAAACTCCAGAAACCTAACATGATAGTCTATGATTGCATCATAATCTTTAAGTAACTCGATCCATATTCGTTGTCTCAAGTTTAGCTCCTTTTGATTTAGCAAATACTTTAAACTTTTATGATCAGTGCAAATATAACATCGCTCACCATATAAATAGTGGCGCCATATCTTCAGTGCAAACACCACCGCTGCTAACTCAAGATCATGCGTCAAATAATTCCTTTCATGTGGCTTAAGTTGTCTCGAAGCATAGGCTACCACATTTCTATCTCATATCAAAACACATCCCAGACCATTGTGAGAAACGTCACTATAAATTGTATAGTCCTTGCCTGATTCTGGTTGTACTAGTACTGAAGCCTCCATTAAGACCTTCTTTAAAGATTAAAACTCTATTGGCATTTATCTGTCCAAATTAATGGCACATCTTTCCTCAACAGCTTTGTCAATAGGGAGACAATCATCGAAAAGTCCCTTACAAAACCTTCGATAATATCCAGCTAATCCCAAGAAACTCCGTACTTCAGAAACATTTCTTGGAACTTACCAATCTATAATAGATTTAATCTTTTGAGGATCCACTCGAATCCCCTCTGCATATACTACATGTCCAAGGAATGGAACTTCAGGTAAACAAAACTCACATTTAGACAACTTAGCATAAAACTTCTTATCTCGAAGTGTCTGAGAATCACTCGAAGATGGGCGTCATGTTCTTCATTCGTCTTTGAATAAACCAAGATATCATCAATGAAGACAACAATGAAATGATCGAGGTATGGTTGGAATACCCTATTTATAAGATCCATAATTATCGGTGCATTAGTTAATCCAAACGGCATTACCACAAACTCATAATGGCCATATCGGGTCTTAAAAGCCGTTTTTAGAATATCAACTTCTTGTATCTTCAATTGGTGATAGCCAAAACACAAATCAATTTTGGAGAACACCGAAGCTCCCTTGAGTTGATCAAATAAATCGTCGATTCTTGGGAGATGATACTTATTCTTTATTGTCACCTTGTTGAGTTGCCGATAATCAATACATAAATGCATCGATCCATCTTTCTTCTTTAAAAATAATTCTGGCGCACCCCAAGGTGATACACTGGGTCTGATGGATCTTTTATCCAATAACTCTTGCAACTAAGCCTTTAACTCACTCAGTTCCTTCGGGGCCATTCTATAAGGAGCCATCGAAATTGGTGTCATTCTAGGCATTACCTCAATTTGAAATTCAACCTCTCTATCTGGAGGTAATCCCATTAATTCATTTGGAAACACATATGGAAATTCTCTTACCGTCAGAATGTCCTCTAATCTCATCTCCAGGGCTCAAGTATCAATCACATTGGCGATAAAAACTTGACATCCTTGCAACATTAGCTTCTTAGCCTACATTACCGATATCACATTAGATAATGGATTAATTTTCTCTTTGACAACAATTACCTCTGATCCATCAGAACTTCTCAAAATTACCCGCTTCAATCGACAATCAACATTAGCATGGTAACGATACAACCAATCCATTCCCAATATAACCTCAAACTCGTTAAATGGTAATTCTATCATATTAGTAGGGAATTCAATTCCCTAAATCCTTATAGGACACCCTTGACAAATCTGGTTCGATCGAGCAATATGCCCTAGCAAAATAGTCACAATAACATCACTACTTATAGCTTCTAACTGGATTCTCAAATCTCTCACTAGTTTACTACTGATATAAGAATAAGTTGATCCCGAGTTAATAAATATCAAAACAGGTTTATCAATTAATTGGAAAGTACTTGCGATGAACTCTGGATCAACATGATCTTCATTAGTCTTAAGGTTGTATACCCGAGCAATCATACGTATTTCAGGTTGAGTGGCCAATTCAGACTGATTCTTTCCCATGTATCGTTCTCTACCTATCTGAGATACACTAGTGGATCTATATAATTGTGTGAGCTCTCCAGTCATTAATGGACCATCCCGAATAAAATGTCCAGTGTCCCCAAATCTAAAACATGTTACAGAGACCACTCGACATACACCATTATGATTTTTTCCACAATGATGACATTGAGTTGGCCTTCTAGCTCCTGATTCAGTTGATTGAGTCTGCCTAGCTCTCACAAGATTTGATTATCTGCTTGAGGATGTAGCTGACTCAAATCTAGTTTGAGAAAACCTAAACCTCAATTTCTCTTCGATTATGCTACACTTGACGAGGTATCCACTCTCTTGGACAACTTGGTCTTTTGCTCCCCAAATCTTTCATTCTGTGCTCGCTCCAAGGCTCTGCTCAATTTATTAAACTTGCACTCATACTCATACACAATGCGATTCCCTTGTTTGAAATTCATGAACTCCTACTTTATTTATCTAATGAACTGATCACTGATATATTTGTTCTTGAACTATTCCAGAAAGAACCACCACATCACTTGATCACTAGGCACTCTCATCATCACATTAGTCCACCATACATGCACTTGACCTTGCAGCAGTGAGACTACTCCATCCAACTTCTCCATTTTAGAACAATGAAGATCGTCAAGCATAATTTTCACGTCGTTTAGCCAAAGATCCGTAGGAATGGACCTTTCTCAGGTTCTCCTTTAAACTAGGGTGCTCATAAACTTTTTAGCTCCTTAGCAATATTCATCCTAGGAGCCGGGGAAGTAGATGGTTAGAAACACTTCAGAATCACGTCCAACGTCTTAAAAAATACTCTCTGATCTTACACATGCACTCCCTGAGGCACCTGTTCTTCACCTTGCCAAGCTGGGGCAGGTGAATTGCTACTACCCTTATTACCTCTATCTCCCGCTTCACTTCAGGAGCTCTCGTAGTCTGACATCTATTAAGATGTAATCACTTAACTATATTGGCAAAGACAACATACTCATTACACTATCAGATCAGAGATTTTTTATATTTCGTTAGCATGTACACCTTTTAAAACATAAATTACTTTATTTTGAGCCTAAAATTAGTTAAACCTTAACTCTGATACCAACAATTGTCACACCCCTGACCCGTACTTGACCTGGATATGAATCTGAAGTGTAACATTGACTTTTCAAATGTTTTGACTCTTTGAAAATCTGATTAATATTTGACTTTTTATCTTTATTTTAGTGGCGAGGCCTTCATAACACAATTTAATATCGAAATTAATATTACAAGATAAAAATAAATACTCAATATATTTACATAAACTCTAACATATCAGAGCATTTTTGATTAAAACATATGTAGTACATGCCAACAAAATTTCAAAATAACAAAATCACCTATTGTTCAAATCGGTTTGACCTGGTCTTCTTCAAAGGCATGTTGTCTTGTCCTAGCTTTACTTCGTTGACTTCTTTGAACCTACGTGTGATACACTCACACGCTATGTCTTTGACTTAGTGAGACATAAATGAGCATAATAAAATATTAAAACATTTACTTAAACATTTCAAGAGAAACATAATATGGAAAACAATATACATTTCATATAAATAACATATACTTTTCTGCACTGTTCAATTCCTATTAACTTGTTTAAATAGCCCAATGTATATCACTGAGAACTCAAGGTATGTGACTACTTTGAGGTTGTGCACTGTAATTGCAGTCGAAACTGTCGCGTTTCCATGTAGAATATGCACCGAAGTGCCACATAGATTTGTCCCGAAGGAGCGCGTAGAATTATCCCGAATGACCATATAGAATTGTCCCGAAAGATCGCGTAGAAGCCCTAGACTCTTGGTAAGCAATTATATCTGTAATTCTCATAGAACATACTTTGGGCTTTAACCCTATAAATATTTCACATAGCATTATTCAAATGATCATTTATTTACATAGAACTCATATACTAAAGTAACGAAATCAAAACAGTGGTTCTGAAATACAATTTAAGTAAAACATTATAAAGATATTTCATAAAATAATTCAAATTATTTTTGATCAAAAACCTTCAAGGTTGGCTCGTTGCAAACCGTCCTCATATAGAATATAAAATAAGTAAGTTGCACTCACCTTTGCCTCACTTAAGCCCTAAACAAAATCCTTTTCACTTTCACTCAATCTCTTTACTACGTCGATTTGTTCAATACTTGCTTTCGATCAAAATCTACACGTTAACATGGCCAAAATGAATACAGAGCTCTAATAATTGTTAAAAAATCAGCATTTACATAACTAAATAAAACAACTAACAATTTTAGGTTGAACAGTATCGGTACTCTACACCCAGTACCGATACTTCCCTTCTATGGTATCGATACCTACCTCTGTATCGATACCCAATTAGCATTATGGAATTTCCTCTTCAATTACAATATCGATACCCTACTATTGGTATCGATATCCACAGTATCGATACCCACAGTATCGATACCCACAGTATCGATACTATCCCTTCAGTATCGATTATGTTCATCCGATTCATACAATATCGATATTGTTCTTCCAGTACTGATACCTTTGCCTAGAATTCACTTATTTCATTTTGAATTTGACCAAAAACTCATCTAAATCTCAAACTTATAACTCCATTCATGCCCTTAACCTTAATA